GGGAAGAGATCATAATCAATCAATGATTAATCTGTTCCATTGGGAATGGCCACACTTCTAACTCCAACTGGTCATCTTGAAAATAAAGCTGACATCACTAAGAATGGATTTGTGAAAATTCTTTCACCTTTATTAAGCATATGAATATCTGTCTTCTTACAGATAACCTATATTAAGGGTTAATGCCAAACAAATTTGCTTTAGCACATTTTTACAGTTTCTTGAAAATCTTCTAGTAGATATGAGAAAAGGCTTGTTTTTAAAACAATCAACTAGGTGCCTCTGACTCACACACAATATTATAGACCAATGTTACCTCAATAAAAAAATTAATTAAAAAATGGGCAAGATAGGAAATTTAAGGATATTTTAGAAAGCTAATAAACACTCCTAGTCACTAAAGTACATTTTTTATTGAATATCATTTAAAAACATATAGATTGCTTCTCGGTTCTCAAAGATGCAGAACCATATATGTTAGCAAATTACTACAGCACTACTTACACAATACTATCTGTTCATAATTATGGTAAAGGAAATTCTAGTTATCTTTACATTGTTGACTTCCCACAAAAATGTCTTGGCATTTAATTTTTAAAAACCTAATCGAAATTTTGAGGTTTGATGATGGAAAATAACAACATTTAAGTCAATTGTAACTTTTTAACAATAAAGGGGAATCTTATAACTTAAACTTTCATCTGTAGTTATACTGATAAAGCACTTCTTAATGAAACTAAGGCCCAGCTTTACAAATTTTACCCCACAAGTCATCTGCAAAAATTATTCCTATTTTAGTTTATGAGTATAATCTTGTAAGTTTTGCTAACTATGCATTAAAAAAGTGAGATATATGGCACAGCTGTACAACACAGTACAACACCTCAGAGCTCTTAAAAATCATTCACTTTTTTCTTGTTTGCATCATCTTGAAGCATAGACTGTATGACTCAAGAGAAAGCACTTTCAAAAATATTAACATGGGACAAAAGTGTTGTGTAAAATTTCCAATGAAATTAGTTTTTGAAATCGTACAAAAATCTCTAATCACAGCTTAAAAGTAATAGCTTTCTAAAAATTTGATAATGAAAAACTTAATTTAATGAATATGAATAGGGTTAAACCATTCAGATAAATTTTGGTAAAACTGTTGTTATACTGATTTACAGCAAAATCAATACACTAAAAAGTTATGTTTCTGGGCCTCCCTTGTGGCGCAAGGGATTAAGTCTCAGCAACATCAAGCTACTGTCAGCCACTGCAACATGGGTTCGATCCCCAGCCAGGGAGATAACTCACATGGCAAAGTGGACCTCTCCAGTCTCGCTGGCTGTTCTCAGCAGTACATTTCAATAGATCTGCCTGTTCTGCTCCCCACTCTGTCTCTGGTGAATCCTCTCACCTCCCACACCTCTGATCTATACCCCAGTTCTTGTATGCATGAATAAATAAATCTTTTTAAAAAGAGTAATGTTTCTGCATATCATATTTAATGAATATCTGTTGGGAACACACAAACTGACAGAAAAAAAATTTATATTAGAAAATACATGCAGTACCCCAAAATGCATAAATTCTAACAGCACCATGAGAATAGACTAGCTAAGCATTAAAAGAATTTATATATAATCGGTGTTTTAAAAGCCTATATTTTATTAATTCAAAATTATTAAAATTTATGAATACAAAAATAGCTTCATGAACTACTAATGTACATATATATGTTCTGAACTCTCAAAAATAGGATAATAGCAGTTATTTATTAGTGTTTACTCTGTGTCTGAGGATCATAAATTCACAATGAACAAAAGAAAAAGAAAAGGGATTTTAATTTTCAGTATTCTATTTCACTAATGCATTCTAACAGCATTGGGATACTATAAAATTAACCACTTCCATGAGAATTTTTGAGAGCTTTAAACTGTATTTTAAAATCCAGAATTTATTATTATTATTATTACAAAATAAGTAAATTCCAGAATTCTATTTAGCTGATGCTATGAAGCAAACAACACCTCTCTGGAATGACAGAATAAAACTGTCCCCCCTGTGTGTATTTGGTAGTCTATTAGCTTATACTTTATTTAGTATATAGTTAATCAAAGATTATTGTTTCAAAGGATGCCCTGAATACTTTAGTGAGACAGAGAATATACTTGCTCAGTCCAAAAGGATATTATTACCATGTAGGTAAAAAAGAAAATTTGAAGAAAAAAAAAAAAACAGCAATTTAGATAAAACATAATACCAATTTCCCAAAGAAATTAGTAAGCATTTTCATTCTCACAGTCTTCCAATTTTGCATACTCCTAAGCTTTTAAAAGCATTTAAATGTATGTTAAAATTATTAATTTATTAAAACTTATTAAATAATGCTTTTGCATAGTTTATGACAATGACATAAAACAGTACTACAGCACTTCGCCAAGGAATAATGAGCAGTTTGTACATTTTAAAATTTAGTTCAGCAGTATAATTATAAATCAAAGAGAAAATAATTCAAGGTAATCCTAAAATACCACTGAATTAGAATATAAAAAGTTATCTAGCTTATTAAATATGTTTTATAAAAGTTCAAAAGTATTTGAAAAAGAATTTATGGATAAAATTATATATGTGTGGGATTTGTTTTATAAATAGTACAAAAGTAGAAGAGTGGGTAGGGATAGAAATGAAAGAAGACTGGCCATTTTTTTCATTAACTGTTGAAGCCAGTCATATCTTCATGGGAGTTCACTATAGTATTCTCTCTTTTATATGTATCTTAAAATCTGTATGTATTTGTATGTTAAAGTGTAACAGAAAATCTTGCATACTGCTTTAAAGTTAAGTAATGCTTAAAAAAATAAACAGCTTACAGAGAAGAATGAACTATAACCATATTACTAAAATTTTTAGGAGCAAATGAAAACCAGGGTATTCTTTTAATTACTAATTCATGAGATTTAAGTATGAAATTTTAAGAGCACAAAATGGTTTGATAATGAGATGAGATTGAATAAATCATTGTTTCCTACCTTTCTGTTTTTTAAAAAATCACAGACATTCTAATACTTTCGCTTTTTATTTAGCAGTAAAATGGAAAATCCTAGATTATACCATCTCTGAGGTCTAATCTTGATATTTTGAGATTCGAACATTAGTTATAAAATATTCAATCTTTTATCTCAGAAAGAAATGGTGATTTTAGTAAAGCAACTAGGTGATTAGTGTAAAATCCAAACAAGTTCAGAGAATAAGTCTTCTAAAGTCCTATAGCTAAAGTATTTTTAAAATTATAAAAGAACTATACAATTATGCAATGCCTTTAACATAATTAAAAGCTCAAATCTATCTGTTAAGCTTTATTTCTAGAACTGAAATCTCCCCCTCGCTAATCTATAGATTCTAGTAGTAAAAGAAGCTATACCTTCAAATCAAAGCAATGACACTTACTATACTCCCAAGAACAGAGAAAAATCAATAAAAGACAGCCAATTTCCATTAAGAACTCTAAATACTAAGGATTAGCAAAACAATAAATATTTAGAAAATTTCAGGTGCATAAAGTAAACTAGGAATAGTTTTTGTAAATGATAAATACAATAATTCTAAATACTACCATATTAATACACATGGCTCATTTACATGTTACCCAAATAAATCAAAGTTAATACTTATATTCAATGCAATTAATTCTATTAAATTGATATATCAAATGCAATAAAAAGAAACATTCCTTCCCTCAACATAAAAATTTTTCTAAACTTACATTGCTCTTTGATTGCAATTGTATATTTTAAAAACTTGCATGTTTTATAAATCAATGTGATCCTAGCAACAAATCAGAGAAACTAAAATTTTCATGGGTATATTCCTTTTTATAAATATAAAAGAGAAAATGCTTATACTGTAATAGTTAGAACATGATCTCCATAATTCCAAGATGTATCTACTCCTTTATGCAAAATTGTTAGTATTTTTAAAAACAATTTAGAATAGTCTCACAAATAGTTTGTCTCATCCATTTCTTAAAAAATATTAATTTCTCTTCTTTCTCAGTCCAACCATGTGGCTGCTCAATGTTAGTCCCTGTGTTTAATCTTATGCCCTAATGTTCAACAAATTCAATCAAAATTAAAATTCTCATGAAAAAGAGTTGGGAATATCTCACTTCACAATTCTTCAAAATATGCTAAAGAATTATTTTTTAAAAACTGGTCTCTTAAGAGACACACAACAAAGGAAAACTGTTTTCATAACTCTAACTAAAACTACCTAGACAAAAGTTTCCAAAGAAAAATTAACGATAAAACAATGACTGCTAGGCAATTGTTTATATTTGAAAAACTGCAGTTTCATAGGCCTCCTTATAGCCTAAAACTGTCATAATATGCTCAATAACTAATGAAACTAGTTTGGAACATATTTAGGATAACTTGTATCTTTTAAATGTATCAAATTCTTTTAACATTCAGAAGCATGTGAAGATTTATCTCCTTACTTGGTATGGTAAAATAAATCCGATGCTAACATTAACATGTGCATGCTAAAAGTTACCCCAATAACTCGTTTCCTTCTTTGAAATCATATGGTAAAATTACCTCTAAGACTATAGTAAAGCTTAATTTCAGAGTAGGAAGCTTATTATTAAAAAAATTTATAACCCTCAAAAACATTCATGAAAGTAGAAACCAGGTTAGCAAAAGGGGCCTCTAAGGGACTGTGTTAAAAAATGAGTAGAAGAGATTTACAATAAATTTCGTTTCACTGAAAAATTATTTGTACTAAAATTAGATCAGTAGCCCTTTTTCTGCAAAGGTAAAGAAAAGGTACACTCTAGTCCATCCAGGCAACTATCAAAATTATTATTAAAACTTTTCCGAGATTAACAGAAATAGTTTAAAAAAAATCTGACCTGGAACATTCACCCAGGATTGAAACTGTAATTTTATCTGAACCCAAGTAAACTTCATATTTATACAATTTACTTAATCATGACGGTTGAATTGAATTTGTACCTATGTGAAAATGGCAATGCGTTCTGAGTTGGTTCAGCCCTTGTCTCTGAGTTCTGTGTCACATCAGGTGTTCTTTCATCATCTGTTCCATTGATACTTTCTGGTGTTAAAGGTGATTGAAGATCTCCACCTGCTGATTCCTTTTTTAAAAGAAGAAGAGGTGAAAGATGAAAAAGTGTTACACTTTTGTATACACTTAAGATACAAGACCATCTTAAAATTAAAACTGACTGTTGTATATACTTACTTATGAACCATATTTCAATTGAAATTTGAGTCAGACTTAAAATTGGAAGGAGAAGAAATGTCTTTGGTCTAATTTGACAGAGAAGAAATCTTAAAGCAAAGCAATTCATATGAAAACTAACTGAAACAATACAATTTAGATATATAAACATAACACAATTTAGAAATGTACTTTCAAAGAATTGAAAAATGTAAGTAACTAACTGGCCAGAATAAAACAAATTCAAGTTATTACTGTACAAGAAAGGAAGATGGCATAAAAACAAATATGATTTTAATTTGGAGGGAAGGAAAGCAAAGAGAATGTCATCTTTTAAGTTTTAATTTTTTTTACCTGCCCTCCTTTTCACTCTTATAGCTATTTTAAAAAGCTACCAGAAATACCACTATAACTTATCACACATGATGATACAGTATAGTTCAGCTTTTCTTTCTGCTACTCATAATGAAATTATTTTTCTTCACATTTCTTGTCTTATTTCTACTTTTTGTGTAGTAGTTACATTTAATTAAATCCTCTGGAAAATAAATGGAATTTAAAATGAAGTTCAAACTGAGAATTATTCTAGCAGGGACATCATTAAAATTTCCAAATTTGAAATTAGTTATCAGAATAAAGAGTGATATGTCTGTTAACCAGGAGAGGCTCTAGAGCCATACTGTTAAAGAGCAGCTTGGTGGACCCTTTGCGATCTCTGAGCAAAAAAACTTCACAACTGAAACATTAGGCTGTGGCAGAGAAGAAAATGAAAACATCAGTGTCCAATGGGGGAGTGCATAGGTAGGGTCAAAATGTCCCAACTAGAAAGAAAACAAAATTGTCACAAATAAAAACAAGAAGAATATGTGTAATAAGGGAAAATGCTTGTAATCAGGAAAAAAACATGAGAATATAAAAAGATATCTAAGTCATGATAATCTACAGACTTACACTAAAAACAGCACATGAAGATGTGCTACAAAGAAAACATAAAGGTATGGTAAGATTTTCTTTTTGGGGGATCCCTGGTTTAATACTGCTGTTTATATTTAAATATTTTAACTAATAGTACTTTAATGCTATCAAAGACCAAAAGGCTACTTTCCTGTTTCTATATTATTACTTTAACTATTTTTCAATTATTAATGGAAACTCCATTTTGAACTTTTTAAAATTTCATTGCTACTGTTTTCCTAAATCCTCTGCTTCCATTCACTGACACTAAATCCATGAATAAATTGTATAGTATGTAATGTGACAATATAAAATTGTTTTGCAAAAATGTCAACTCCAAATGACCACCTCTAGTTATGAACTTTGTCAATTAGGCAGAAAAAAAGCATAAGCAGAGAGAGAAACCATGAACTTATAATTTTGCTTTCAATAAATCAGTACCATTTTTCAAGAAAGTCCAAACCAAACTAAAATAATCAAGGCCAGCTGTTCATTCTGCTAAACAGTAAGTTCGCCAAGACTTGATTTAGTGGAAATAATAACAGACATAAATTACCTTATTAACTTGAAAGAGCATAACCATCATTAGAAATTAATGCTTAATAGATTTGGTGGAATTGATTGACTAGAGTTCAAGGGACAAAAGTAAATTAGAATTAAAAGAGAAGAGGAGGAATCATTTAATATTTGTTTTTATTACCTTCTAGGAGAAAATAAGGTGGGTATGGGGAAGCCACAATGTTGCTACTGAAATCAGAAGAATATTCTCAGAGGCAAGTAAAGAAGAAAGGGCAGGAGATGGGGGGAAAAAGGGATAAAGGTTGCAACAATTCCAATGTTTCAGTGCAGCAACTTTTTCTTCAGGAAAGGTGAATATTAGCTACATTAACAAAAGACATATTTAATTACCCAAGATCATTACCTCTAAAATAGAAAAAAAAAACCTCAGAGCATGACTTTCTAAAAGTAGGTCTAAAAACAACAAAATTAGTATTTGTTCATGAGAACAAGAAAAAGTTTCAACAGTATAAAAGGGCATAAGAGGAAAATGAAACCCCTTTGCCCTCCAACTACCCCATAGGTAGCCAAAAATATTCTGTGAAGCCTCTGAGAAAACTTATATATGTAAAAACAACACTGTGACACTTATTTTAACAAATTCCGAACACATAGTTCTTTTTTAAAATTACAATTTTTGTAATTTCTTAAACATTTCCCTCTATTCTTCAAAAAAAAACCCTACATCTTACATAAAAATTATGTGTACTTTATTTCTTTAAATCAAACATTAAATAAAAAACTAGAGGCATAACTATTAGACTGAATTTTTGAAAAAGAAAATAATTATCTTTATAAAGAAACTTGTATGTGTATATGTATATACAACATAGTTGTTAAAAACACCCTAACCCTAACCCTAAAGTTGGTCATCATCAAGTGCCCTCTCTGAAATCTCATAGAAGTTCCTTCCTTCCTGACTAGCTCTTCCTTATCTATGTAAAGTGTACAGACTGAGTGATGTTTAGGGCTGGTGTGTTTATCTCCACTCTCATATTTTTGTACCTACCAACTGCATTAAATGCTTACCAACAGTCAGTTATATTTGTCCAGAACATGTTTATACCAATTGTATTTACATAATTATATAGTTTATTTATATAATTATATAGTTGGATTAAATGTATATAAACGAATAAAATTTGAATATAAAATCAGATTGGTTATTTTAATGAAAGCCAATACAAATGCTTTAAAGCAACTAAAAGATAAATGGCTAAAAAATTAAATAAAACCCATGATTGAATTATGTATATGTAATATACTATTATATAACATATATAATATGCTACCATATTAGAAAATGCCATAAAACTCTTTCAAATATCACACTCAGACTTCTTTTTAAGTACAGAGTTTTGGCTCTACTTACAGAAAACTGCTGACAATTATTATATGGTTTATATAAGAAAGATAACATGAAATTCCAAACAACAGATTCATATTCAAAGAAAAGTTGTCAGGTTTAAGTCAAAATATTGGTGGATAAGTGAAACACTGAATTTTAACTTAAGGTTATAATGGTAAACTGCTAATAACTAGTCAGTACACCCATTAGTTAAACTGATAAACATTCCACTGAGCTAAGTAGCAGGATTAGAGATATTTATTTACATTGCCCTTACTTTGGAGAGCAAACAGTAATGTCTAGAGAATTGTAGTGAAACTTTCATGAGGCTGTAAAGTTATCTATTGGATCTGGTTCAGTAAAACCCAATTAAATGATACTAAGAAATGATACTAAGAAAGTTAAATGATACTAAGAAAGTTTAATATTAATTTATAAGCATTCATGAATTTTAATGGTATATATATGGGCTACATATAAATAATAGTTCAGGGTAGTAACATTTGGAAAGTGCAATCACCTTTCGAAAGAGCCCGGTGACATACCTGTTCAAAGAAATCTAAAAACATTCGTGATTTATTGGATTCACAATGTCCTAAGAAATCATATAATTCAAACCTCTAATCTTATAGATCTAAAAACTACTACTCACGCCTATCATCTGACTTTCATAAAATAAAATAATTACTCACTGAGAATGTAATCACTTACATAGTTAGTGCTCATTTGGGTAAATAGAATTCATCACTAAGATGAAAATTTTAAAAATTATGTTATTTTTATAAAGCTAAAGAAATATTCTTCCTTTGCACACACATGCACACATACATATATAACCTACTTTTTCTATGAAGTGAATTCTAAAAAATCTTCAGGAAAAAGCTAGACATATCCAATGTAAATCAAGAGAGCTACTACAATTTTTTCAATACTATAAGAACATGACAATTTTAAATTGGGGAAAAAAACCCTGCAATTTTTGTTTGGTTACAAACAACTGATAGGGTAAATAGACTTTACTCAGATTAAAAGTCTTAGTTAACTGACAGCTGAACATTTTTTTTTCTAAATTCAAATGAAAAAAATATTGGATAGTATTTGCTTATGAGGCCCTTTTTTTTCTTCAGTGCACATTCTAAAGAAAGTATCTAAAATATTTTCTGAAATATAGTATTTTTACTATAAACTGTATGAGAAATTCATATTTAAAGTCAATTATCAAATTTAACAAAAAAATTGACTGTTTAAAAGATTCCCATGGAAACAAAAGAATGCAATATGTTCACCTGAGAAAAAAATTCTAGATTAATGTCTATTATTTAAAGAGGGAAATGAAAGAAACAGCCAACATGGGATTCAATTTATTCCTACAGATGTTACCTTGATCAAAACGACATTATGATTATCTGACATGACATGACCATAAATTTACATCAAGTGTACAACTTTAGTTCAAGAGTCTAAGAATAAGGAAGTGGCTAACTGCTCTAAATGCCAGACCCCATTCATCACAAGCCCTTGCGGAAGTGAAACGGTACTGCTTCTGAAAGTGTAGTTCCAGTTCAACAGCATCCACATCTCCTCACTACTTGTTACAAACGCACATTATCAGGCCCCATTTCAGCCCTATAAATGCCAGATCAGCATTTTGCATCTTAACAAGTCTTCCAGGGGATTCAGGATTAATTCAACAAAAGTATCTGTATGTCTCTAAATAACTTATGTGTCAAATACTATACCAAGACTTTTCACCATTATTTGCATCATTACAATCACACCACAACCAACAGCTGTTAACATAACTAAGCATTTACAATATGGTGAGCACTATGTAATCCTCACAAGAGCTCTACAAGGACATATTGCTCATTCCCATTTTATAGATTTAAAAAAATAGTTTAAGTTAAAAAAAAAAAAAGGGTTAGAAACTGGATTCAAAGTTAGACTCTAGAGGCTACATAACTGCCATTATCTTATGACAATGTCATTAGTCATGTCATGACATCGCTATTATCACATTCATTCCTCCCAACAATCCTGTAACTAATGTAACACTCATAACAAGCGTATAAAGAATAGACTTGGGGTAAGCAGTTTCTAAAGAGTACATATTGATAGCAAAAGTAGGTCAGACTCAAAAATTTTAGCCAGTCTATATACTTCCTCAAATAAAAACAAGAGTTATGGCCAACTGAGTGTCTACCTTTATTGATGATCTGTTAGCCTCTTGACATCTTTTGCTGAATGCATGAGAATATTCTATTATTCAAGTAGAATATTAAATTAACAGATTGTGTTAAACCAGTGACAAGTTTTGCTTTCTGGCTGAGTAGGATCAGAGTGCTAAGTGGTCATACAATGCAAACTAAAATAGAAATATTTATGATGTGTGGTGAACTGTCACAAAAAAGGTAAAAGGTGCAAAAAGAAAAATACTTAAAAAATTTTTTTTCTGGTTCCAGTACATTAACAAATTTAAAATATTTTGAGAAGCTAAATTAAGATAGGTATACTGAGGAACTTAAGATATTTATTCCTTAGATCTCACAGCATTTTCCAAATATAAATATCTTTGATATATTCCTTTGATGAAAATAAATGCTCAAAGACATTCCTTCCACCTCAAAGGAAACTTAGCAGCAACCTGTAATAATTCATGGCCATTTAATCAAAAAGCAGCTATGGTTAGAGAAACGGGAACTAAGTACAATGGTCAAGTGTAATCCATTACAGTTTTATTGGAGTCCTCTAAGTATTCTCTTACAGAATGTGCTACAGCATCTTCTTGTAACACTGCAATCATTTACCCGAAGAATTGGAGCTCCAACTTGTATTGATACTAAATTTTAAATAGGATTTTATGCTTAAAAGTATCACTACACTATCACAGCACTTAGGGGAGACAGACTCAAGGTTAAGTTTTAAAATGATCATTCATGTTATTCCAGGTCACTGCATGTACGGAGGAGGTAAAATAGCACCTTGGCTTCAATCCAGAGTATACCTTTAGTCTGTCAGGAAATATGTACTTTGAAAGCATACTGAGCAGAGCTCTCCTTTCCTGCAAAAAACAAAACCAAAACAGAACTCTTTATATCAGTAGGGTTTATTAGATAATGGTACTAAAGGTGAAGAAGAAGGGGGAAGAGCAAAAAATTTTCCAAAATGTTCCAATCATTTGACTGGTCACTAAAGTCCAAGGCAATTCCTATTTACTTCCTCAAAAAGGTTTTTTGTAAGCGTGTTATTATTGACATTATTGCAGAGAAACATTTGTAACATCTAATCCTTCCTTCTCATATTATGTTTCAAAAATAATTATTATAGAGAAGAATCCAGCACAAAGCTGAACACTAGTCTTAAAATCACAATTGAAATAATGAAACTATTTCCCTAAAACATATATAGTGTTATAAACTAATGTTACCTCAAAAAAAGTTACAGAAACAACTTTAAAAAATTAATTTTTGGAAAATCTGTTTTAAAAATCTGAAAATAAGTGGCATTCTATATAAATCATACCATGCATATTAAAACCTTTGTAAACATACTGAAATGTAGCTAATAAATTATTTGTAGATATAACTAACTTCTAATGAAGAAAGGCTATAATGGACAAGTAGCAGCTATTAACTCATTTCTTAACCAAGAAAGTTAGTTGTATAAAACCCATATAACTTTTGGCTTTCAGTGCAGAGTACAAAGTAAGATGCCATAACTGTCAGATTTGAGTACACTTTAAAATCAGTAGCTAATTTTTAAAATTTTCTGTTTATTATCATGTTTTACATCTTATATAACCTCTCTAACTACTCAATATCTAGAGGTAGCAAAGGGCTAAGGTAGGATGTCTCTGATAAGCAAATGAACCAATCCAGAGCCATCCCTACTCTGTCTAGCCAGTGCAACCCAGGAGGCAATATTCCTCTGCCTTAATGATCCCAGGTCATGTATCAGCCAACTACAATTCTTGTAGTGTAGAGCCCATCCCAGGGAAAACCCCATACAGGCACTACTTCCAGTTTTCCTTGTACAGCCACCCCATATAGGCTCTTTGCCCAGTTTTCTGCTTCCTGACCACCCTAAGGTATCCTGTGAGTGCTCCAGAGGTGTGCCATGCCCCCTGTTTCTAGGATCTGTGAGTGTATCAAACTTGTGCTTTTCTGACCTTCTCCTGTGTGGCTGCACTCAATTGTCACAAGATATAGAATGCAAACAACAGGCTAATTCATGTTCTCTATGTACAATTGTTTTTAAGCTGTATGCGCATTAAAGAATTAGAGTTTTAATTACTAACCTGACTACCCTCCCCTTCCTCAAGATTCTTACAGACATTGGTATACAGAGGGGAAAAAACCTTTCTCCGTGAGTACAGATTAACTGGTACATGCATTTCTATGTCCTCTTTGGAAATAAACTTAATTTTGCCACTCCTCTCCAAATTTAACTCAGGCATAAAGTACACCATCTGAAATGAACAAGGCTCATAAATACTAATAAAAATTAAATACCCACCTGTGAGGGTGTACTAGTAAGTTCCATCTTTTCTTGTGACTTCTCCTTTGCTAGTCGAGCAGCTTCTTTAAATTCCTGAAACTTTTCTGCAAACTGAATGTATGAAGACTATATACATTAACCAAATAAAATTAAGTTGCAATGCCCACTTTCTTAGCTTTGTTTCCATTTTCTGAATAACTGTCTTTTACACAATCTAGCCCTCAAATCAATTACAAGTATATAATAATATTAAAACAACAGAAAAAGAAAACTAATACCAAGCATTTGTACACTATAAAGTATTCTGACAAATCTCATTCAAGAACAGCACAGTTTAACCAAGTTAGAATCTGGTATCAGCAAGCTTACCTATATCCCTCTTGGTTGTTCATACATACATTAATATCACAGTGAGAGACTAACAGGAGAGGGGTGAAAATTACTAAAGATGGGTATGTCATGTGTGTTTATCATGGAGAAAACTGACTCTCTTAAGTTTCTAATCTTAAACATCATAATATTTGCAGCATGATGTTAACTTTAACAAATTATAAACTCTTCTATTGCGTAAGACATTTTGTCTTCCACAATCAAACAACATAGATATTATCTCTGTCTGGACATTACTTGAATTTCGTTTCCAAAGACTCCTAAACAGCTAATATTTAGCAACAGAAAGGAATGACTTAACTCCACAAAGTCATTTAAGACTAGTAACAATTTTGGGCCTCCCCTGGTGGCGCAGCGGTTGAACGCTGGGCTGCGAGGCTGCCCACAGCCTCTGTGGCGCCGGTTCGATCCCCAGCCGCCAGCGAGGGTCCCACAAAAAAAAAAAAAAAAAAAGACTAGTAACAATTTAAAAATACCATACATAAATGCTAATTCTTAGGACTTCCAGGAAACTAAAAATTCCATGGCCACAAACAGTATCTGAAAGTAGTATACTATTATTCTCAGAGAGATCAAGTTAGGGCTCAAAATGACCAAATTTAAAAACCTAAAATCTCTATGTAATTAAAACACCTGCTAGCACAGGCAATAAAAATTTGAAATTATAGTTCCCTCCTCAAACTCCCATAAGCCAACCTGATTTCATTGCCATCTTGGGAAGGAAAGTTTTGGATGGAAAGAATGATGATGTTCCGACCTGCTGTAGGGAGATGGAAGAGTGTCTAAATTAAAGTTGTCATTATTACAACTTTCCTCTGATATTAAATATTGTTACCCCACCCCCATCTATAATTTATAGATCAGGGAACTGAATCTGTTACTATAGTTCTTTTATTGAACAGAATATCTCCTTATTGTAAAAAAGAAAAAAATCTGAATATGGAGCTTTAAAGGTCTCATTCACAATGATGGAAATGAAATTTAAAAAAAAACACCATAATTAAGTTCTTTGTATGTGACTTGAAGTAGCACACAAAGTTTTTAACAAGTAATTTAGCATTCCGAAGAACTTAATGTTTAAAATCCTTCTTAATTTCACAAAGACCTACACTGTTGCTAGTTCTCATAGGCTGAGGTTTCCATGATAACAAGATGCAACGTGGTAAGCACTCTAACAATCCAAGCATAGTTGGAATATTCCTCATACATCTAACTTAGGAGACCATACAGTTCTTCCAATACTCCTACTTTGAGAGGCCCTTATCTAGAATTGCCTTATATCACTTTGATTCACTTATGGTTTTCAATGATAAAGCAAACAGGAATATTTCTAAATGCTTGCTTCATTTATATAAAAGCTACAAACTTGTTTGGGCTCCTTCCAGCTTTTAAAGCACCAAAATTAGCCTTCAAAGTAGCTGGAAAAGAAATTATGGTTCTGTCTCTGTACCAAAACATCCTGAGCAGATTGATGATGATCATGAATTCTTGGAGTCAAGTCTAGTGAATAAATAACCTTGACTACAAAAACTAACAGGTTGTTTCATAATAGTCAATTTACACTCAAAAAAAAAAAAAATACTAGACTAACCAGTAAGATTGGTCAAAAGTACATGCTAACATTAAAGAGGAAAAATGAAATTATTGAAATATAAATCATTCCCAGAAAAAAATGGGAAGGAGAATGAAAGGAGACAGTAAGATTGATAGAATGTAATAAACTATTCCTTTACTGTATCAGATAGCTGTCCAATTACCTGAAAGTTGTAACAAAAACTTTATAATCAAAATGACTTAGGCTGAAAATCATTTCACACAAGTTTCAGCAATTAATTCATAACTTAGTTCCTGTGTTGTCAAGAAATTCAGCAAGTGGGATACAATTATAATTTAATATTTCTGCTATAGAATTTAATACACAATTCCAAATGAAAAGTTCCCAAAAGGTCCCAAGTAATGGTTAAAGTATTATATAAATGTGTAATTTTCTCAGGGGATTGTTAAAGGAAGGATAATGAATTGGGTGTCTATGACCCTGTTATGCTGAAATATTTTGAATCTAAAACTCACTCCTCAGCCACAATTCCAGAAGTATATTTAGAGAGTAAGAAGGGTGAAAGAGAAGCTAAATCAGATAACACTTGTTTTAATCATTTTACAGAATATATCTTGAAATCACCAACACAAAGTTAAAATAGTTTAAAATTGAGCTTTAAACTTCAAAAAGAAATCAAAACACTTGAAAACAGTGTTGAGGAATGTTTACAATTATAACAAAAGGAAACAAAGATTATTTCAACTATTAAACTCTCCTATCATGTCAAGTCAATAAATATTATACAAGTGTAAGATTTTAAAAAAACAACTCATTTTTAATACCTGAATGATGTCTATAATAAATAGCATAAGGCTTTATATAAATGTGAATGGTGTGTGTCTATAAGAACCCAATTACCCTACATGTGAACAATTTCAGCTCGTCATGCACATTGAATCATATGTAAAGTGCTTCAAAAGTAGGGTTATATTTTCTTTTTTAGTGAATGCTTCAAACAGAAAGGCTTTAATCATAAATCTTTAGGACTGGTGAGCATAATATTAAAAGAGACAAAGTGCAATACTCATCACCAATTATCTTATTATTCTGACATTGTTTCCTTACATACTTCCTGTTTGGCAACCACTAAAACTGAAGGTACTGCTGGTTTAACACAGCACAGCTTTTGCTTATGGCGGGACAACTGTTTTACTTCTAGTACTTAGCCTGGGGATGCTCTGTTTTTTTATCAGCTTTTCTTGAGGCAGTAATTCACTTGGTCACCCTGTTCTAACAACTCATTGTTGTTTATTGGATCTCACTCTACTGCAACAGAGAGCGCTCAGAGTAATTCTCACCAAGACAAAACACAATTTTCTCAAAACACAGTAATTTATGTATACCTGCTGTCATGTCAAAAACTGAAATCTTTATCACTAAATCTTTATCACTAAATCTTTATCACTTCATTAGAGTGTTGCGTCTACATGCCTTACAGAACATCTCCAACATCTCTAATCCCTGAGTTAAGTCCATTTTGAAGTGATATCCTCCCAGTTAAAAAGTGATATTCCCCCATTATTTCCTATCATGCACACAGTCACACAAACCCTTCTCAATCAATAGGGACTGTTTCTGATGAGTACAGTAAATTTTCCTATTGACAAAGGAACCTATGATCTTTCATTTCTTACTCTAAAGTTGGGCTGAGAAAATTAAACAAATTTCTCCTATAATTTGTTATTATATATTTAAGACAACTGACTTAAACTGCTGAAGATGAGTTTTCTATTTTGCTCTTATAGCTTAACTTACTTTTGAAAGATGATGCTCAGAGGAGAATCCCAGTCCATAAACAGTATTTGCCCGGCTATCGGCCCACTGGCCAAACTTCTGAGATGTTTTTGTAAATGTCATGTTTGGGGTGATGGTGCTATTAATTATTGCCTGAAAAATAAAACAAATATGAGTATCTGTCAATTATTACCTAACAGGCATTTAAACACAGGACCATTTAGTTACATAAAATTTAGGGCTTATAATGAGCTACAGTGTTAAATATATAAAGATAATTAGAGAAATATTTTATAGTATTGTAACAGTGTTAATAAAATAGTTAATAGAGCTAAAAATTAATGACATTGTCAAAGACTTGAATACCTTACAATCAAAATAGATTTTCCTATGACGCAAAAAAATTTTTAAAGTTTTTATTGTGTCAGTTTCTACCCTTTGAATATTTAAAACCAATCTCTTAATTTTTTATGATACTCACTGGAAGTAGATTTTAGTAGTTACTTAAGATTAGGACTCACCATCCAAAGAATCTTTAAAAAAATAATATATCAATAACAAATTTTCTATTTGTATACTAATTTTTTAAAATATATAATCAAAAATTTTCAAGCTTATTTACCTGATTATGATAGAGAAAATATTTTCAATTATTCAGTACATTTTTACTTTACTCAAAGAAAAAAATCAATTCACTACATACTTTGCTACTTTTTTCATTGTGGTATAAATTTATGAATTGAGAATCATTATCACTTCTGTTTAGCACTTAGTAATTTTAGAAAACTTATATTTTCATAAGTTATTAAACATTAACATTGGCAATTATTGAATAATATATTTCAATTATTATAACATATTAGCCTACGTGCATTCCCTGTGTCTCTACTGTGAAAGTTCAGAATATTTTAGTCTAACGGCCTCCAAAATTGAGTTTTAAGTGATTCCAGCAAAAAGTAAAAGTAAGCATTAGACAGTCCATATGCAATTATTTGGTGAACTACATTCAACTAAATGTTGAATGAAAATGAAGAATTTTTAAAACAAAGCTAAATCTGTTTGCCATGTAAACAACAGTATTAATGTAAATATGATGATCTCTGCAGTACTGATGAAGTTGTAACAATGAATGCAAGACACTTGTTCTACTAAATAAGACATTTTTCTGGTTAGATACATAAGGACTTTCCAACTCATTATGAAGTTCCAAAATAGGAGTGGGGGTAGGGAAGAGAAAAATACTCATTAAACACACCAAATAAACCATTGCTGCTTACCAAAAACCAACAGCATCAGTTTAGTTGCTTAGAAAAGCAACTAGAACATGTGATAGAAAATATAATTCTGCTACAGAGAGTAGATTTTGTTAAAATAAAAACTTTTCCACAAGTTATTTAAGAGCCTAATAATTATAAGCTGTAAACTATATTTAAAAATGGAAATGCCAGAAGCAGTTCATACTGTTTCAGAGGAAGAACACAAGGATTATTTAATCACATGAGACACTGAACTACTTCATTTGAACTTCACTTTTTAAAAACTATTTAACCCTCCCGTCTAATACAAATGATAAATTCACTGTAGTTTAGGCTAAGAGAGAAATACAGATGATAGAAAATTGAACGTTCCAGTCAAGAAAAATAACACTATGGAGTCTGAGATTATAATAATTAATATCTATTAATTTCACTAAATAATTACCAAATATAACAAAATTATTCTTCATTAAATAATGCCTCACAGAAATTATCATTATTTCCCAAATCCTTTGAAGCCTCTGAATGAAAATGAAAAGAAGATCAATTATTTGAATAAGTACATGTTAGCCCCTGGGCTTAAATTGAGTTAGAGCAAGGGATGAGCACACAGAAAAAACAAACTGAGTTGAACATTAAGTCAATGATCATTTTATTTTCCCCAAACCACTAGGCAATACATAACTGATAGCCTAATAATATTAATAACAATAACAACAGCAGTGTTATTGTTAAACACACCTTAAGTGCCTTGGCCTAAATTAATTATTTAATCTTCACAACATTCCCAGTTTATAATGATACAGGTATCTGCATGTTAGATCCCTTTTACAGATGAGAAAACCAAGGTATGAAGGTATCTTGCTCTAGGCCACAAGACTAGTTACAGAACAGAAATTCAAATCAGTTAGCTCTACAGTCTATGTCATTATGACCCCTACAATGAAATGCTAAAATTTCTGGGAGTGTAATAGCCTCATTAGCATCAGGAAAGGTTGGAGGAGAAGAATGGAGTTTTCATCTTTCTACATGGTTATATAACCAGATTCTGACATCTGTATTTCCTATCTATATGACCTATATGTTAGTCAAAATTCATTGATGAAAAAATGGACTTTCTTCCCCTTTGGTAGTCTATCCATCAGCGAGTGATCTAAGTTCTCTGCAGATATCCACGAATTTAATCCTTATGACTATCAGTACTGAGAGAAGAACAATGAGCTCAGAGTAATGTGTCCAAAGTCAAAAACTTAGTAGATGATGGAGCTGAAATCTGAACCCATATTCTTAACATCATTCTGTTTGCTTCCTCTAAAAAATAAAAAATTAGGAGACTCCCTGGTGGTGCAAGGAGTTAAGATACAACCTATGAAGCTCACTGCAGCCACTACAGCACAAGTTCAATCCCCAGCAAGGGAGGTGACCCACATGGCACAGCAGACCTCTCCTGACTCGCCTGCTGCTCCCCTCAGCAGTGTATTTCAGTTGATCTGCCTGTTCAGTTCCCCACTCTGTCTCTGGTGAACCCTCTCACCCCCTAAAACTCTGGACTGCACCCCAGTTCTTGTATGTATAAATAAATCTTTAAAAAAAAATTTAAAAAATTAGATTTAACCATATGAACTTTTTTTTTAAAAGATTTATTTATTTATTTATACAAGCACTGCGTACAGTCAGAAGCACAGAAGGGTGAGAGAATTCACCAGAGCCAGAGCGGGGAACAGAACAGGCAGACTGACGAAATACACCACTGAAGGGAGCAGCAGGTGTGGCAGGAGAGGTCTGTCGTGCCATGTGGGACCCTCGCCAGTGGCCAGGGATCGAACGGGCGCTGCAGAGGCTGTGGGCAGCTTCACAGCCCAGCACTCAACCGCTGCACCACCAGGGGAGGCCCTCCATATGAACTTGTTTAGAATAAAGGATCCTGGTCTTAATACTGACGTTGACAGATTTCATGTTTTTGGAGATTTTGAACTGACTACTAATCTATAGAAGTGTATCTAGAAAGAATTCTAGTTCAGCACATTGTGTGCTCCAAAAACTGTATACATGTTACCACTATATTCCTAGCACAGAGTCTGACATAAACAAAAATGCAGTTAATATTTATCAAGTAAACTGGCCTCAAATCTGTAGACGATTTTGGCATGTAACTCTATATAAATAAGGTGATTATTCTAAGTAATTTAGTGAACAAAACATGTTTTCCTGAAAATGATTTTGTTTAAAATTTTTAAAAACTCAAAAGGAAATATTTTAGTAGAGATAAAAATCCTCTGAATAAGGCTGGAATGCTGTACTGTATAAAATAAAGCAGCAAGGTTATTTAAAGTAAATGTAACTTACCTTTGAGCCATCTAAACTGATTATCCTATACACATTTCTTGTGCTATCATAGAAGTAAGACACAGTAACTGCATGCTTGCTGGTGGGTACCCAGTTCTTCTTTGTATTTGGGTCAATCTGGAAGACGTGAGCTCGAGTGCTGAAGATGGGTTGTTCCCTGTATGGCAGAAAATAAAAGGATGTACTAAGAGTAGTCAATTTTATTCCACTGGACAACAGAACATGAAAACTATGATTCAGCATGCCCCCAAATTCCAACAATCACAATCAAACATTATTTGCTGACTCCATATTTGTGAATTTTCCAACTCACTAAAATTTATTTGTAGAACTAAAATCAATACTGAGGGCTTTCACTATGTGAAAAATATGAGTTGCTGATAGGCATGGTTCCCATATGAGGTTCAAGTCAAACCTCTGTCTTGTTTCAACTCTTACACTATAAAGAAATGCCCTTTCTGAAGTCCACTGAGTGCTATATTTTTTTGCATTTTTGTGCCTTATTGGTGCTTTCTCTGTTTAAAATGTATCCTAAGAGGGGACCCAATGGACTATGGCAAAGGTTTATGGGTACCTTGGTGGTGGGAGTAGTGTGGTAATATACATCTGAAAAGGTGTGAAGCTATACCTCTAAATCATATACAGTGTTGTAAACAAATGTTACCTCAATAAAAAACATAATAAAATGGACGCTAAGCACAGCGCTGATGTGCTGCCTATTCCTAGGCACTGGAAGGCTTTAATGTGACTTACAGAGAAAAAATGTATGTCATATAAGCTTCATTCAGATATGAATTATACTGCTATATGCCATGATTTCAGTGGTGATGAATTAACAATATATATTAAACAAGGTGTTTTTAAGCAAAAATACACTTAAAGCAAGGCTATGTATTGACTGGCTAATGAAAATGTGACTGAAGGCTCACAGGAACCCTAATCCTCTACTTCCCTTAAGAGCAATGGTTCATTATTTGATAATTCAGCATTTGTGGTAACTTTATGCAACATAACTACCATGACTAATGAGATACAACTGTACTCTGTTAAAAGACAACTATTTGCACTTGACCCTTAGTAGGTTAAAAGTTTTTACCCATTTAAAACTATGTTACATAGCAAGAGAAACAAAAGAGAATATAAACAAAAGGGACTCAAAGGGGACTACATGAAACTAAAAAGTTTCTGGTGAATGAAAGAAACAATTATTAAAACAAAAAGACACCTTGCAAAATAGGAAAAAAAATATTTGCCCACCAGACATCCAATAAGGGACTGATATCTAAAACTTAAAAGAAATCGTACAACAAAAAGCAAATAAAAAACTCAATAAAAAAATGGGCAGGGAAGCTAAATAGAAATTTCTCAAAAAAAGACATACAGATGGCCAACAGGCACATGAAAAAAAGTTCATTATCCCTTATCATCAGAAAAATGCAAATGAAAATCATAGTGAGATACTGCCTTACACCAGATAGAACAGAATGACCCATATCAAAACACCAGAAATGAGTGCTGGTGAGGATATAAATGAAAAGGTACTGATATAAATATTGGTGGGCATGTAGACTGGTCCAACCCCCCTTGGAAAACAGTATGAAGATTTCTCAAAATGTTAGATAGATATAGATCATAGATCTATCATATGATCCAGTAATTCCACTCCAAAGAATGCAAAAACTCTAATACAAAGGGATATATGCACTCCTATGTTTATTACAGCACTATTTACAATAGCCAAGTTATGCAAACAACCTAAATGCCCAACAACAGACAAGTGAATTAGGAAGAGGTGGTGTATATATACAATGGAATGGTAATCAGGTATTAAAAAAAAAAAAAAGTGAACTCTTGCCATTTGTAACATCATGAGTGGAATTAGAGGGATAATGGTAAGCAAAATAAGCCAGAAGGAAAAAGAGAAATACCAGATGGTTTCACTTTTATGTAGAATATAAACAAAACAAAGAGTCAGACAGAACCAAACCATTTAGCAAACCCTGTAAGCCTGACTGCAGAATTGAGGCTTCTAGAGGGAGAGAATGGTGGATGGAGAGCAGGGTATGAAGGGTGCAAAATGAACTATGGGGGAGGATTATGGGTGTGGTAAGGAAACATATATCTGAAGAGGTGTGTTCCTATATTTCCAAATTACATACAGTGATTAAACCAGTTACCTCAGTAACCAGTTACAGTGTAAACCAGTTACCTCAACGAAATAAATAAACTACATTATTCTCACTATGGTGATTCCTTAAAAAATTAATACAAAAATACCATATGACTTATGAATACCAATCCTATTTATCCAAAAAATATGAAAACACTAATTTGAAAAAACACATGGACCTCTATGTTCACAGCATTATTTACAATAGCCAAAACATGAAACAACCTAAATACCCATCTATGGATGACTGGATAAAGAAGTGTGGCAATTATACTCAATGGAATATTACTCAGATATTAAAATATTAAATCTTGCCTTTTGCACCAACATGGGTATAACATGATGTGATTAAGCTAAATGAAATAAATCAGAAAGTGGTTTTCACTTGTGTGTTATATAAATAACCAAAACAAACGAACTAACAATTCACAGCAAGGAATAACTTAGACTCTGAAAAATATACTGGTTACCAGAGAGGTGAGGATGATGAGTAGGAGTAAAGGGTAAGAAGGGGTCGATCTGATAGTGGGAATGGCACTAGAACTTTGGTGATGGGTACAGTGAGGCTTATACACATATTCAGGTGTGAAACTGTACTCCTGAAATATACACAGTGTAAAAGAAAAAATAACAATACATAGGCAAATAGTACACTGAAAAAGTTCTATATCATCTCTACTATATATTTTTGAATATATGTATATACATATTTCCATGTAAGTATAAGGAAGACAAAGTAGCTCACCACCAGTCTCTTTTACTTAGATCAAGTAGGAATACAAACACAGACAGAAAAAGGTTTTAAAATTATATTTTCAAGACCAAAACTATTCAAAAATGTATACTTAAAATATATTAGTTTTTTTTAACAGTCTGAAGAAAGAACATTAGATGTATATATAAAAAAGTGTTATAATGCAAGTTTCCAAGTTTTGAGTAAAAAATTCTTTTGAAACAGCATTTACAAGCTTTATTTTTAGCCCAAATAAAGCTCAATTCATTTACGCAATACCTCACTTTCTTAACGCAATTCAAGGTCCTAAGAAGAATATTAGCTGGCATTAATGTTTAAAATCAAATAAATCAAAAACATTTTAAAGAATTAAAAACACTGAATGAAAAACAGAAATTAGAAAACAGATAAGGAAAATCTGGGCTCTTAGCAAAATGGTTCTTTGTGTTAGTAATAGGTGACACATATGCCTCCTGTTAGCTCCTTGATGTATGAGAGAGCTGGTGTAAAAGGGAGGTACCTTTCCTGTAGGTAGTCTCAATTTTTATTTCTGGAAACCTCCAATGATAATTTTTCTTATTAAAGAATTGCTTTTCAAAGAAAGTGATACATTTTAGAACACCCCCTAAAATATTAAACAGAAAATCAACACTCCTGGCTTAATTGCATTCTATGTGGATTCATTCAACAAATAAGTTTTAACACTCAGGCACTGTGGCAGGGTGAAGAATACTGAGTTAGGAGATCTTATTCATTCCCTCTTTCCCCAACCTCAATCCTTAACTTTTAGTGAGGCTGATGCAATATTTGGGTTACCTTCTAAAAGACCTGCACTGCTAGCTTTTCTTTCCATCTTTCAATTAAAGTTCTAGGTACTATATGTAGTTGGCCATATTGGCAGTGACTAGTTCCAATTTATAGGGAAATCAAATCACACAAAACTACTAAGGCATGTAAGGAAGAGGAGTGGGGCAGTAGCCTTTACTGGGTTTTTGGTTGTTTTTTTTTTTTTTCATTTGACTGGGGGTACATTTCTAAAGAGTACAGACTCATAATTATAGAAATATTCTAACAAATGTATTTTCTAAAAAAACTAAATTAGTTGCTAAGACAATAATCCTGTTTTTGCAAGTCTTCATTCAATAGAAATGAAACATTGAGCCCAGTAAATAAGTCCATATAATATTAATTCACACAATTTACTTAATCTGCACAATTAATCCACACTATTTAGTTCTCTTATAAAGATCTTTAGCATAAACTAGCTATTTTACAAGCAAATGATATATGAATATTAATTAAGTACAGTGCTTTCTTCAATTCTCTTTGAAACAGCTGATTTCTTAAAATTATAGTTCAAGATTTCTCTTGTCAAAAGTTTACCCATAAAAGTCAGAATGATGACTAGGAAAATAATTTCACTGCTGATAGAACAGAATTCCTAGAAGTAAAAAGGAGGTAACTGCATCTAACAGGGCCTGAGAATAAATGATTCAAGCTTTTAGTGAGTATCTACTACACACAAAAACTGAAAGAGAAATGGTCCTCTGCCTTTGAAAAATGCACATAGGAGTGGTATGTTAAAAAATAAAAATCTTCACAATAGACTGTAAATAAGCAACAGAGGGCTACCATGGAGAACCTGATGCCTAAGTAGAATTTGAAACAAAGTATGGCATAGTGGGGAAAAAGACACAGTGCAGTGGCTGAGCAGCTAGACCTGAGGATGAATGCTTTTGAAGAATGAGGCAAGAGGGAGACAAGCCAGTTCATGAGAGTCCCTGCTAGAAGCTACAGTCTATAAAAACGGAAAAGGTCTGCATTCTGCAAAGAAAAATTTGGCAGCACTGAAGGGTGTGGATTGGAAGGAAACAACATTAGACATGGAGGCTAGTCAGAACATTATTAAAGAATCTTGAGTATTAAAAAAAAAATAAAGAGGATGTGAGGTTAGGGAGCAGAATGAAGAGGAGATATTAAAGGTAAATTCAGAAAGTAGAATCAGAAAGAAAGAATAAGTAACAGAGTGGGCATAGGGCAGTGGTTCTAACGAGGATGATTTGTTCCCCAGGGGACATTTCACAAAATCTGAAGACATTTTTGGCTGTCAAAACTAAAGGAAACTGCACTTTGGGCTAGTTGCTAGAAGCCATGGATGTTGGTAAATATCTACAATTCACAGGACAGCCTTCTGCAAGAGTTATCTAGCCAAAAATGACAACAGTGCCATGACTGAGAAATACTAATGTAGAAG